AATGAATTTAAATATTATATAATATAATTATTATTTCTCATTTGCATAATTTTTTAATTATTTTGTGACTCCTAATTCTACCCCTTTAATTAAAACAGATCCCTTAATTAATGATTAAATTAATTTGTAGTAGTTTTAAATATTTTAGACAATTATACATTATTTTTACTTATTTTCAAGTAATTTTTTGATGAAACAAAAAAATAAATATTAGAGATTAAATTGGGTATTTCGCTAAATTTCTCTTTAAAACATAAGAGCTTAAACTTGTGTATAAGAAAGTGATATGAAGATACATATAAATGGTAGAAATTAAATTAAGAAATCCCCAAATTTACCTTTCTTACTTTCTTTTCTTTCTTTTGTTCTTTTGTTCTTTCACTCTTTTCTTTCCAAATCCAAACTCTTCATGGTTGCTACTAACAGTTTCTGGTTTCTGATTCTGCTGTACAAAAGATTTTGATTCAAGTTTCCTAAAATCAACATCCAAGCTAAGCAAAACTAACCACTAAGATATATGGGTGGTTTCTTTCTTCTAAGGAAACCATGGAGTGCTAGTGGTGAAAACAGGAAAGTGATTACAGTTCAAGAGGAGTTACAACTACACATTTGACCTTGTAGTATCACTTTTTTTTTCCATTTACTTCTGTTTCCTCTTCTTCTTCTTCTTCTTCTTCTTTTGATCTGTGGTTCAATGGCTCAACTACTGAAATTAAAGGATGAAAATAGTACAACAACAACACACAAAGAAAGGAATGGCTGACCCACTTCCCTCATTGCTTTTTTTTTTTTTTTTAATGATGCATTTGTATGGTAGTAAGTAGTAGTAGTATAGTATTTTGATGATGAAGGTGATGGTACATGTGGCTGATGTGGTGATGGTGATGGTATAGTGCCTCTCTCTATATATCTCATTTGATGTGAGGTTATTTTGTTTGGTTATTCTTCTCAATCTTCCTGTGATCATAGCAAACAAAACAGCAACCAGAAGAAACCAAAGACTTTATTACAATAAGAGAAGCAATAATTGATAAAAGGAAAAAACTTTTTTTAAAAGAACAAAAAAAAAAAAAAAGAAGAGGAATCCAAAGCTAAGCAATTCACCTTAAAGCATAGGAAACTAAATTCCAACAGGACATGTAGGGTCCCCAGTGCCGGCATACATTCCTATAGCTCCATACCCAGATGAGAATCTGAATTGATTAACCAAAACCCATATCACAAAATCTTGTTTTTCCTTTCATAATTAATCATCATAATATATGAAAGGAAGCAATCATGTTCTAATCTTAAGGGTTTGATGGTGTTTAATTAAGGAAAGCTCACCTGGGCATCTGGCAGTTAAATGGCTTGAAAGATGCCATGTCTAGCGTAGAACTAACCAAATTGTTGTTAGTAGATGGAGCCGATTCAGGTAAATTTTTCTCGGTAGGATCCAAAGTTGAAAGGAAGTCCCCGGAGACACTGGTTGGGGTCGCAAATGGGCTATCAGGCAGATTATGCTCCAAACTACATTCCATAGTTTGATTATTACTGTCAAAACAGACTAATCCAAATCTAGATACGGAACTCATTTCAATTATGTTTAGTTCTATACCTTTCAGGCAAGTCGGCATCCACATTGTTTGACGATTCTTTACTGGCCATTGACTTCTCGGAGGAAGGATTCACAGAAATACCCGGTGCGGGACTAGAACAATTGTCTGCAAAAGAAGGATCCAACTTCAACTTCCTCATTGTAATAAACTATCCAAAGAACCTTCCCATTGCAACAAGTGATTTATATCAAAATTTATCAGTAAATGATAAGGTGAAAGTAATTATACCTTGGGAAGCATCTTGGTTGCTATAAAATGGAGAAAGAAGAAAAGATTGGTTGAAAAGATTTGGGGAGTGAGTAGGAGAAAGAATAGGACTTCCAGTGGACAGAGCTCTGTGATGATGATGATGATGATGATGATGATGCTTTTTCACATCAAGAAGTTGCAAACCCATTAATCTTCTACTCTGAAATTCAAGAGCTTGCTGCAAATCAGCTTGCTCCTCTAACTTTCTCCTCCACATATCTTGGCTATTATAAAACATCCTTGATCCTGAAATTACCAACCCAAAGAATTCATCAATCATTTATACATGTACTCCATTAGGCACAAAGATAATTAAGGCCATGTTGCTTCTCTTTGTTAAACTTACCAAGTTGAAAATCAAAAGGGTCTCTAGAATCAAGACCGGTAGGAGTACCACAAGGTGAAAACTCTAATCTGTCACCTTGCGGCTGTGATTGTTTCCTGCAAAGAGCAAAGCATTATTTTTAACAGAATTAGTGGGTTAAGCTTTGAAAGTGAGAGGATACAGGGAAAGAGGGAGTGCCTGAACTTGTCTGGGACTTTGCCTTTCTCCTTGTAAGGCTTAACAAGAACCCGGGCATCACAAACAAAATGAGGGTTTCCTTTGGCAAGAATAATCTTGACAGTTTCTGGGTAAACAAAAGTGACAAACCCAAACATCCTCTTCTGCTGGTAAGGTATCCTTACATCTTGAACAGGTCCATAAATACTACAAACATGTTACAGATATATAAACAACTAAATCCCAGTTCCATAACCAAACAGACGCACAAATCAGAAGGGATAGAAGAACAAGAACCTGAAATAATTTGATACATCTTCCTCTCTGAAGGTGCTATCAGCTGGGAAAGTCAAGTAGATCTGTCTTGAAGCTGGGTTTAAGATCCCTGCGCTAACATTCATTGAAAAATCATTCCTTTCTAACCTGGATCTACCAAACTTGAGCATCTCCTCGCCCATCATCAAAGCAGCAGCAGCTCTGCAATATAATCCCGTGGAGGGAATTGTTTATATAGACAGTCAAAAGTTGAGGGAGATTGAGTAAAGTAGGTAAGAAATAAGTACCTTTGAGTATCATTCTGTTGTTGTTGGAGCAGGAAATTCATGCACTTAGGAGAGTAAGGGAAGGAAGAACCACCGCCCATGAGCTGAGAATTAACAGGGGAAAGCCTTTGAGGTTGAGCAGACTTTGATCTGAGCAACTCATGGCAGTGGTCCATCATCTCAATCTTGTTAGGGGACCCAACCATGGGTGCAGCTGCACCATCAGCACCTACCATGGCTACTCCACCTGATTCTCCAATCCCACCATGTACAAACCTGCAGTTGTTCCCATTCTTGCAGTAGCCTCTTGCATAATACAAGCATGGTCTCCACCCAAATCCTGAAGCTGGGTCATCTGACCCCAAAACATCACTCACAGAGTAGCTTCTTTTGTGGAGAGAACCACCACCCCAATAAGAAGGGAAAAGCATAGAGTCAGCACCGGCAGGTGGGCTTGAAGATAAGTCTGGTGAAGGGTAGAACATGTCCGTACTTTTAGGTCCAAGATTTGTTGGGTTATCATTCAAGAAAGAAAGCTGATCTTGAAGTTGAAACTCATCTATGATATCCACTGAACGCCCTCCGTTTCCATAGAAAGGTAAGGAAGAAGGATTCAAGGAGCCACTACTAGGGCTAATCAAGTCATCTTGGTTTGGAAGATCAGACAAAGCACCCCAAGAAGACCCACCTGAGGAAGAAGAAGATGAAGTTGCAGAAGAAGGGTTTGGAATAGTAAGAGGAGGAGGAGGGAGACTGATCCCAGTAGTAGTGTTACCAAGAAGCCTAGAAGATGATGAGTTTTGCTTCGAAATGTTAACACCAGCTGGTTGATTGTTTGAGAGGAAAGGTGAAGGAGATGGTGGAGTTGATGGTGTGGGAGGTGAATTTGAAGGAAGTGCAAACTCCTTCCTAGCTTTAACAATCACTGAGTGAACAAGAGCCTCAGGCCCAAAAGCTAACCTTATCATCTCCTTTTCACCATGATCTTGGAGGAGGAGAAGACCCATAATTTTTGAAGCATTTTCAGGGTCTAAGTTCTGGATTCTTGAAAAAACAATCCTTGTTGCTTCATAACCATCCATGGAGTTTGATTATACTTGTAGAGATTTCTCACCGAACTTCCCCCACTACCCAAAAGAAAAAATCTTCTCTTTGGGGTGGTGAAGGTGTCTGTGCTCTCACCAACAAACCCTTTGTCTTGCTTTGTACTTGTAGTATATTTGTGAGAGAGTGAGTGATATGTTCTTTACAAGTAAAACTTCTTTCTCAACCACAAAACAAACCTACCACCAAGTCAGTATACTACTTTACTGTATCTATCTCCTCTCTTTCTTTCTTTATCTCCCTATTCCTGCAACCACCAAGAAATTACAGGTAAGAGAATGAGAAGAAGAAAAGAAGAAAGAAACTAGTAAAGGAGTATTCTCGTGTGTGCTTATCATTATTAAGACAAGTAAAAAGGAAAACCCAAGAGGCTGCCTTTGCTAAAAGGAAAAAATTAAAATAAAATAAAACCATGGTGGTTGAATTTCTTTCTTCATAAAGCAAATATAAGAAAAAGTTGCGGCAACAAAAAGAGGAATAGCAACAAAAAAATCAAACTTTTTATAAATCTCCCCCCAAATTAACCAACAAGTAAAAAAAAAAAAAAAAAGAGTTTTGAAAAAAAAATTCTCCAAATCTAAGCTCTGGGTCTATCTTGTTCTCCCTATATCTCTTTCTTTATCATTCAAACATTACCAGAAAAGCCAAACCACCGCCTTCTCCTACTGATTTGCAGAAATTAGCAGCAGGAAATAAAGAAAAAAAGGAAGAAGAAAGAACCCATTACTTCTGGGTGTTGGGTAGTTTGTGTTTTTTGGTTTTGTGAGTTTATGAGCAGTCAAACCTTTCAGCTTTCTCTCTCTATCTCCGTCTCTATCTCTCTGTCTCACCATTGACAGATACAGAAACCATAAAATAATAAACAAGAGAAAATGGAAAGAAGTGGCAGAAAGAGAGTGTGGTGTGTGTTGGGAATTAGGGTTTAATTTAGATTTTTGAGTGGATCCAGATCTGTGTGCGCTCTTCAAATAGCGCACGTTCTCTTGCCTCTAACCCTTCCTGACACACTGTTGCTTACTACTATTATTATTACTCCCTCTTCCTTCAATCGTCGTCTTCATCATTTTCTTTCTTCTGCTCTCTGCAATTTAGCCAAGTGGGACATTACTCACTCCACGCTCTGACCTCGAGTTGGAAACCACGCGCAGGACAACATCCCCACGTGGATTTTCTTTATTCGACGGTGACTCACACGCGTAGATAGATCCTTGTTCCTGTTTTAACTTGCGTTGAGATATTAATGCTTTTTCTTTTTTCTTTTTTCTTTTTTGTTTTTTCCTTTTTTTTTTCTCAACAAATTATTATTAGTACTTCTTATAATCAAAGGTGAGAATTAAAAAAAAATATTTTTTTAAATATATATTATATATACACTTATTATCTTATAATTCTATTTCATATTGTTATATATATATATATATATACATACACACACACATACATATAGACAGGTAAAATTATAATCCTTAAAACCTTATTAATATTTGAGATTAACAACAACCTTAGTTAAACATGTCCAAAAACTTGATTAATACAAGTTAAATGTGTTTTATACAGTAATATAATAAATTAGCAAACATTAATAATGATTATGTTGCATGTTAATGCCCAAGAAAATTGATGGAATACCCTTTTGTATTATGAAGAAAGTGAAATTGTTCAAGTACATTCATGTAATCACTCGAAGTTGGAGCTCAAATTTTTTTATAAAGATGGCACAAATAATTGTTACGATAATTACAATAATTATATTGACAAGATGTGTAATTACTACGGTAAAAAATATGACAAAATATTATAAGATATCAACGTTAAAATTAAAAAAAAAAAATTATATCGCACGTTGATTTGTAATCATATTATGGTATTACTCTATACTAAATTTAAACCGTAAAACATATCGTATTTATATAATTCAAGTATTTTCTATTATGAAGTTATTAAGTAGTTCATTTAAATATATTAAAAGAATTATGCACTTAAACTAATTTGTTTTAAGTATTATCTGAGTAATAGAGAAAGAATAAAACAAAAAAATATCATTTTGGTCGTGACTTCTAATGATTTATTGAGGTTTTTCTCGTTTTATTTGCTCTAAGTTGATTTATAAGTATTATAAGTATAAAGAGTTGTTCAAAATAGTGAATATAAATATTATATAAAAGGAGTAATTTTATCTAACTTACCTCACATAACATCGAATAAATCCTAATTCACACTTAATAACTCTTCTCGGTTTAGAATAATTTTCACATTTGGAGCCAAAAGTGCTAACATTTGTTCTTCCGCCCCTATTTATAAGTAAATAGGAAGTGAGAAAATCTCTCACATCCTCTTTTAGAATATGATTCTTCCTCTCCAATAATTGATTTTCTTTCTGTTATTTCAAAAGTAATTATTTTAGTTTCAATTATTCGAATTTTCTATACTTTTTTTTTTATCATCAAACGAATGACTTCTTCTTCTGAAAGCTTTCTATCGTTAGCATGATATCGAAAAATTTCATTGTTTTTATTCAAACAAGCATGAAAAATATGTTTGCATATTCGCCTATAGGTCAAATCATGTATGTAACTATTAAGATAATTGTGGAGATTCAAATGGTGGATATGTCAACATAATAACTTATATGTTGTTCGATATCTCCATGAATCTAGAAACTTTTACGTGCTATAACTGATAACATTTGAGATTATACAAAATTATACATAGAAGATTTTTTTTTGGCTATATATTTACCTTTATGTTTCTTATTCCTATGAGGTCTTCCTTTATTAGCAAGTTTTTTTTTTTTTTTTTAAAAAAAAACTCCATTTATTATGGTGAAGATGGTAAAAACTAAAACAAAGATACCACACAATATAAAATAAACCATAACTCAAACTTAAGAACTTATCTTGATTCTTAAACCTTTATTTATAAACGACTAGGAAACGAATGTGGCGAAGAAGTAACAAAATTTCTCACATTATCAACTTAAAGGTTGATATTTTCTTGGGAGAAAAAATCTCCCTAAATCTTGTGGGAGAGTGAGTAAAGGGAGAAAATTTTCTTCATTTCCCTATTTTACCTCATGTTACTTCCTCTTTGGTTCACTAACATGTTTAGGTCCATTTCAATTTTATCATTTAATTTCATATTAACTAATTAACTAAATTATCATAAAAGTAGTATTATTAAGTTCACGATATTATCACTTAAGCTAAATTAATTAAAATCTCTAAAAATATCAAATCTTTCAAAATCGTGGCCATGTTTATGGAAGTTTTGAGAGAATTTTTTCTTCCTTCAGTGATCAGAAATAACTATTAAAATTCACTAAATGCCTATTTTTATAACCTTTAAATTATATAATATAATTAGGTCCATATTGTAAAAATATTTTATACTTACGTAGTGGGGAAAATAAAATTCTTAACGTGCAAGACTTCTTAATTAAATATCATGTAAAGACATAATATGGATAAAACTAAGATTGAAATAGTTATAAGATTAAACAAAAAGTATAAACAAACATTTCTTATATAAAGCTTTTTGTTCTTTTCCTTAAGCTCTACTTTCATGTCAACAAATTTGATATAAAGGTTTAAGAGAACTCTCTCAAACATATTTACACAAATATTACAATGCTATAATTCTTGTGATCAAATTTACATGCTAGATAGAGTCAAAATTATAGATGAGTTACGTTTTAAGGTACTTCTTTTGTATTTTTTTTTTCTATTTTCTCTCAGCTAAACTAATCACAGAGGAAAGGATTTCCTTCTCCCAATTTTTTCTAAGTTTCAAAGTGAAAAAGTAAAAAAAAAAGTTTGCATATAACAGATAGGAAGTAAAGAGAACATGCTAAATATAAAAATTGATTATGAAAAAATATTCTTAAACTCTTGTGGATTAAAAGTCATAGGTGTAAACCCTCTCTTAGAAAAAGTTCTCCCTTTATATCTTGTTTCTTTCTTTTATCACAATTTTTGTGATCCCTATTTACTATATCACTCATCTTTAGAAGAATAAGCCTCCGAAAATGATAATTTCCTAAACAATTTGGTTCATAATTCATTTTTTTTTAATATTATCCAAGAACAAAACATACATCTTATATACTTTGAAAATTGCATGAAATGATGATTTGGGTATTTTAGAAATTGAACGAAATGTTGATTCTAGCTATTTTGGAAACTAAATAAATGATTTCTTTTGTTTTGGACCTAGAAATTTGATTGAGCTTTGTTTGATTTCAATATAAATAGATTATGAGTTTACCTTCTTGTGTCTTGCTTATGATTCTTGACTTTCATATGCCTATAAATAGCTAATTTGAAATTAAATCAAATCTTATTTATATGTACTTCGCAACATTTAATGGTTTCGATGTGATTCTCTTGCCCTTAGCTTTTCATTATTTTAATCCTTTAAGACATCTACTAAATAGAGACCCTTTTAGAATTAATTCATGACAAAATATCGTTGAACATGATTTAGATCATCAAAAAAACACTTGTTATATACTTATTTTTCTTTTTAATTATTTCAAAGAAGTTGTTTTGGGCATGTTAGGAACTAAGAGAAAGATGTGTTTTATTTGCCAAATCATTTCAATGTTTGGATTAAATATAGGAAGTTTTAAGACGGAAGTAATCTTCGGTAGTTATACAGCATTTCACTATTCGATTAATGGTTAAATGGGGGCCCTTAATCCTTAATTTAGATGTACTTAAACTTCGGTTAAAAGAATACCCTAATTTGATTTGCTTACGAGTAGTTATACAGCATTTCACTATTCGATTAATGGTTAAATGGGGGCCCTTAATCCTTAATTTAGATGTACTTAAACTTCGGTTAAAAGAATACCCTAATTTGATTTGCTTACGAGAGAATGACAAATCCTCATTAATATAATAATATTGACTTCTAAAGGTTAAAAGTCATTCTAGTATTCTTCTCTCTTGAACTCTCCAACTGTTTTATGAGCATTTGTTTATCTCTTCATGATTCCTTATTTCTTTGAAAGTGAAAATTCCCTTTTCTCCTTTATTTTCCCTCTATGACACTTAGCTTCTTTTAGCTTTTCTCTTAATTCTATGTAGTGATAATGATCTACTTAAAGATAAGAGCATATATAAACTTTTGGCTTAATAGAAATTGAATGAATACATTGGTGAACATTTAGATATAAGCTTTTTTAATGAATCTCCTTTTAAGCATGTATGGGTTTCTTTGTAAGTGTATGGGACCTAGATATGAGAATATTTTTATCTAAATGCATATGAAAGTTATCAAATACACAATTTACTTGTTTGAGATATAAAATTCCAAATCTTTATGAATTCTAAGAAGTGTAATATGAATTATATACATATCAAACTTTTTGAATTAGTAAACTTGGGTATACCTTACCCATGTGTTTAAACTATCAATATTACATTATCTAATTAACGTTTAAACCACGAGTATAAAACTAACTAAAATAAAGTACACATATTGACATTGAAAAAAAATCTTGAATTACAAGATGTTAGACTATAAATTTGCTCATAACAAAAACCGTTCAATATTTCTCATATATTTTAGAGCAAGAAAATCATGTAATAATTTCCATAAGTTTAAAAACAAGAAGATCATTCGGTAGTTTTCACACACATAGGGTGATTAATCATTTAAGAATTCTATGAAGTTCAGAAGATCATTGTATTTTTCGATAATGAGGTTAGAAAAACATATTTTAAACATAGTCAAATGCCAAAAACATACACAAAAAACAATTAGAGAATTGAGTTCAAAATGATATGAAAGAAAAGATGTGAGACAACTATCTCGTGGTGTAGAGTTAAACTAAATTTGAATTAATATATATTTCATTAGTGTTATATTTAGTTTGCAAATTCATAGCAAAATAAATACAAACAATGAGTTACAAACCTGTGAGTAAGTTAGGAATAAAACAAGGTATGAGCAAAATCACATTCAAACAAAAAATGATGAAGTAAGATGTGAGAAAACCATCTTCTCTACATAGCTTCCTCTCCTAATCTCTCTTCCAAATTCAGGCTCATGAGTCCAAAGTTATGCATTGAATCAAGTAATGGCATGTCATGAGATGATCAAATTCTCAGCTTTGAAGCATATTGTATCATCATACCCATCACTTCCATATTTGATGAATCATATGATTCATCAAGAACACCATAAGAGCCAAATTAAAAGAATGAACACCGAATTGAACAAATTGCAAGATTAATATACTCATGCCATGCACCCATGAATTCTTATACTCCAAAGATTGGCCAATGAACATATTATCAGAGAAAATAATGTTCCTTATCATCCAACAACCACTGCTCAATCACCAAATCAATAGCAGTTGCCAGCAACCTGTTCACTCTTACCAAAAACACTAAAACCTATTACAGGAATATCCTTTTTAATTTGCTTGTGAAACCAAAAAGATAACCAGTTTAAATTGATAACCTTATTAACAAAAACATTTCAAATGAACACTAATCAGACTAATGATGGGTTTTCAGTTTAAACCAAAAAGATAACCAGTTTAAATTGATAGCCTTACTAACAGAAACACTTCAAGTGAACACTAATCAGACTCATGATGAGTTTTCATTTTAAACCAAAAAGATAACCAGTTTAAATTGATAACTTTACTACCAAAAACACTTCAAATGAACACTAACCAGACTCATCATGATGGGTTTTCAGTTTGAACTAGCTAGATAAGATTTCTTCTCAAAAACCAATATAGATAGGTAGGATGTCAGGAATGAAAAAGAAAACCATGCAACCATGTTAACATTTATTCAAACATTTTTATCAATCAGCTACTATCCTAGCTTTCCAGAAACCATCACTCACTCTGTAAATCACTAGTCCAGAGTGAAAGGTCTTGAATTTATATTTTTGGAGTGTTGACCACTGGAACCTGCATGAGAATTTGCATGGGAAAATCAAACATCAACCTCAACACTGACTCACATGTTTTCACTCTCTTTTTGGTCAACTGCAAAAACCCTAGTTTTCCTTCTATTCCAGCATTGAGAATGTCCTGAGGAATTTATCAGAGAAGAAAGACATAATCAATAAACAATATATGTAGCAGAACATCTTCATTGAACAAAGAAAGAAAAATGGTTTTTACTTTTTTAATCATTTTGACAAACAGATGGCAGGCGCTATCGTAAGAGTATCGTTTACTTGCGACAAGAGAGCCTTTAACTCTATGAAAATGAAAAGAGAAACGAGTTCATCCAAACTGAAATGATTAAAATTGGTTCGTTAAAAAGAAAGTTTAATTTTTCCTCCTCCTCTTTGTTTAGAGATTCATCAATAATCTGAGTCTGATCAGGAAAATCACTAAAAAATTCCTTCTCTCATCTCCCTCTTATCATCGAATAACCAAAATCATACCTCCAATCAGCAGCTTCAGTCTCTTCTCAATTGATTCGTTTTCCCGTCGTCGTAAAACTCCATTTCTTCTATCTTCTGCTCTACTTTCGCCCGCTTCGTGCTGGTTTTCCTCTAGCGTTCGTTTCTCGGGCCATGTTCTCGTAGCTCCTTTTCATTCCTACCGCTCGTTGAACGTTCCCGAGTCAATGCTCATCTCCGCTCCGCTTGCCTCCATTTTCGCTGCTTCTCTGTAGTTAGTTGTTAAATGAAGAAGAAATACAGGACGACGTCGTTTGCGTTCCAAAAGGCCTGGGCTAAGTTTGGGCCTTGAGCTGGATCTGGGCTTTGTTTTCTCCCATGCATTCCATAATTTTTGTGTGTGTTAATTTCGTTTGTACAAATTACTTCATGTAAAAGCCAAATAAAATTATTGTAAATGATATAAGAAAAATAATATTGAATAATAATTATTGAATATAATTATTTTATGTAATAATTATCAATTTATGTGAGAATTCATTCATAATTCATGAAAGTAAAAAATCTAGTAATTATATACATCATGAAAGTGAGAAAATACAAAAAAAAAGAAAAAAATCACCTAATAAATGCAAAAAATCAATATCTCAAAAATAAAATTGATTTATAATTCTCTTGAAAATATATATATATATATATATTCATGATTTACTTAAAATTCATCATTAACTTGGACAAATTAAATAGTTAATAATAATTTTACTCAATAAATTTAAAGTTTTCTTTTTTGTTTATTCATTTTGAGTAAACATAGAAAATGACATTAAAAAAAATATAAATAATATATATATATATATGGAACTTTAATTATTTGATTAATTTGTTTAGAGTATCTATCTCATTGATCATGTTTGGGTTCTTAAAAAATCACATACATATATATACATAGGATCTTATCATTTTCTTTTAGTATGTCTCACTTGATTTAGTATCCCAATTCAATGCAATAATCTATTTCCAAAAAATACAAATAGTATAATGCTCATGAATCTCTAAATGTTTTTATTCACCCCCCCCATAAATATATATATATATATATATATATTTGGTATTTAATTTCTAGGTTTAGTATTTTCATGGATCAAATATTAAACCTTCACTAAGATGTCGAAACAAAGGAAGAGTGAATCATCATAAAATTGCACCTAGTCTTGTGTCTTGGCAAGCCTCATTTGAAGGATTATGGAAATATAATACTGACACCGCAATTTATACAATGGGGTTAGAGGTCGGTTATGGAGTGGTGATTCGAAATTTAGATGGGATGGTACTAACTGCACTTTCGAGCCAGTTACAAAATAATATTTCACTTTATCTACCAAAACTTCTAGGGTGCCTTAGGGTGCTGCAACACTTGGTCGACAACACTAGTGACTCTTTAATTTTAGAAATTGATGCTTAAATAGTGAAGAATGTTTTGTTGAGTAAGAAGATAGATGAATATAAATTTAGAAATATAGTAACAGACTGCATAACATAGTTTGCTACTTGACCTGACATCTTTGTGAATTAGGTGAAAAAAAAGAAAGAAATATGATAGCACACCACCTAACAAGGGAAGCTCGTTCATATCCGGACCTTTCTGTCTAGGGGATGATGCATCCCCACATGTTGTAATATTTGCCCTCATTTTAATAAAGATCGATTTCATCTCAAAAAAAGATCAAACCTTCATTCATTTTTAACAATTAAAATCAATCTATGAAGTTTATCAAACTTAATTTATTAATTTGATAATTGATGTTTTCTTCCTTTTAAATAAGAAATTATGCATTTAAATCAGATTACGTGTTTATATGTATCACCACTAAGAAATTATAATTTTTTCAACATAAAATAAGAAATAAAAAATTTATGATTCGTCTTTTTTTTAATAATTTTTTAACATAAAATAAGTAAAATTATCATATTTTCATTTTGTTCTAATATTTTAATTTTTTTCAAAGTAAGTTTTTATTACTTTTTATGATTTTTTTTTTCTTTTTACATATATTGATCTTGGTGGAATTATCATACATGAAATTGAGTACAATTTTATAAAAAAAAAGGCAAAGAGATTGAAAACATGTTTCAATGATTAAATCAATTGATACTCGTAATAATTTTTATATTAAAAAATAGCATTAACTTTTTTCATGTTCGTTTCAAGTTCGAATTACTATTTATACAAATAAAAATCTCATTCATTATATAACTTCTTCTCATAATAGACATATGATCTTAGAAATATATTTTGTATAAATAATTTATATATACGTATCATTTTATTTATATATGAATTATTATTTTCTTAAAAAATACTTCAACTAAATTTTAACTACGAACTAAAACTCGTTGATTGCTTTATCTCATTTTATTTTAAAAATATATTTGGTTACAATAAATTCATACTTTCTTCTTTTTGAAAAAATTAAAATCTTGATTTTATAATTAAAAATAAAAAATAAATGAGAATCAAATAGTAATTGAACTATGTTTCCATTAAAAAAATAAACTTAAAAAATCATATATAAAAATATAGGGTTAAAATATAAATTTACTCTATATAATTTTTATTTTTATTTAATTTTATGTTAAATTAATTTTTTTATTAATACTTCGTCAAATAAATGTGAAAATTATAAAGATTAATTTAATAAGTAATTAAAAGGGATTAAATTAATTTTTAAAAAAATATAAAAATGAATTTAATTAAAAATAACGACCAAGATGTAATACCCGGGCTCGAGATTTGCCCGGGATTAATTTTTAAAAAATAAAAATAAAAATAAAAATAAAAATAAAAATAAAAATAAAAATAAAAATATAAATTTTAATTTTATAAATTTTTATTTAATGTAAAATTAGGAAAACAAATAGGTGGAATATGAAATTGAAAACAATTTTGAGAGATTGGTGAAAATTTGAGCTTGGAAGGGTATTTTTAAAAGAAAAATAAGAAACTAGAAGCAATTTAGAAAAAATATGTCACGTAAAATCGCCCAATCAGTAACCATGACGAATCAGAGTGAGCCGCGTGGTAAGCCATACTGATTCGGTGTCATGCGGGAGGCCACGTTAGCAATCTACGTGCCCATAATCAGACGATTTAGATTTATTCCCGCGTGCGTGGACGATCCAGATCCATTCCCTCCTCAGACACGATCAGACGATCGCGATTAAATGCAATGAATGGTCCAGATTCGTTTCCTCTTTAAACGCAATTGTATGGTCCAGATTCATTTTTTCTTTAAACGCGATCGGACGATCAAGATCAAACGCGATGAAAGACCCAAATTAAAGGGAGATGGATATAAATACCTCACTTCACATCGAACTCTAACCCTAGCCGCTAGCCCCCCGCTAGAGAAAAAGAACTAGTCGCTAGAGAAAAGAGTCGACTGTCGCCCGTTGCCGCGCCGAAGCCACCTCTGATTGCCAAAAAAAGTAAAAAAAATTTCATTCAATCGAAATTTGATTTTGAACACCTCCATGGCAAAATCGGAGCAAAAAAATCGGCGGATGAGCCAAAAAATACGGGTAAAGCCCGGCAGCGCCGCTGCAGAAAAAACAAAAAAATTACCTCCGATATGCCCCTTCCCAATTCCTGTTTTGTACGATTTTTTCACCATTGTAATCACTATTTTATTTTTTATAGGTTGACCAAAGAAAAATGTCTAACCGCGAAGGTGAGTCGGTGGAGCTACTACACCGAAAAATCTTGCCGCTGGTGAGTTTTTGTTTTCTGAATTTTTTTCGGTCAATTAAGCCTCCTTAACATGTTTTTTCATAGAGATGAGTATAAAACCGGCCGAAATCAGACAAAACTGGCCGAAAATGGCCAATCTGAGATAAACCACCACTACGACCGACAGTTCCGTTGCTGGAGCATGGCGGTGTTGCTGTGCCGGAATTTTAAAATTGGTAGGAAAATATTTTTAACACCCATTTTAGGTTTTTTGAGATATTTTTAGGTACTTGAAGCGTGTTTTAATCTCTGAAAGAAAA